ATTTTTGATCATTCTCAGCGTAGACTCCACTTCACAAACACGTATTAATGCGTATACTTTAATCCTGGAAAAGGATTTTCCAATCCGTGAAAGAGAAAAAGAGTATTCGTTATACAAAAATTATACGTGTTTAGTCGGTAATACAGACGTCTTTAGGATCCCCTTAAGGCGATGCTAAAGACTCCTGTTTTACCCATATTTCCATTCGGTGAAAAATCTCCGTATTGGATGTACGAATTGCAAAAGTATTATTATATAAATTAAAGTACGCACAAACAGGACCTCAGGAGCCTGAAGCTGCATTTCATGAGAAAATCGAAAACAAGTTTAAAATTTGTTAAAAATTCACTTACTTTTGGCTCGTACAGCTGTCACCTCAGATACATATTTGCTTGATATAAGAGTTTTAGAGACCATACCTTGAAAATAAGCATGCAGCTGATGTCACATTATTGAATCGAACGATATCGAGTTTGTAGAACTAAGATTAAAAGTCTAGAAAACAAGTATCGTCACCGAATAGAAAATACGTGTATACAAGTGCTTTGCGAAGACTGGGACTGTCACCAAGCCGAAATTCCGTGTAGCAGTAGTTGCGCGGTCTTGCGATAGACGTTGCTGGCATATGTTAGATAAGAACAGATGTATGCGTTTGAGTAAGACAGAATGATATATATTATATAATATAATGTAAAAACTAAATAAAAAATGTCACCACTATTATCGAATTTGGAATTTAAAAAGTCTGTATTATCGACCTTGATCGAGTTAGATAATCAGTTTAGCATCCCCTTAATGCGGCAATACGAAATCCAACAATAATTGTGTGACGAATTGCGAATGAAGTTCTCCTGCACGGACGAATTAGCGATCAAACCATCAGGAGGCGTTTGCAAAAAGGAAACTTAAGGTCGCGGGCTCGTGCTCGTGTGCCAATGTTATCTATGGTTCATCGATGTTCTCGTTTGCAAAATATACTCGCACATTTATGAAAATTGGACTGCCAGACAGTGGAATAACGTATTGTTCACTGACGAATCGCGATTTTATCTCTTTAGTTCCGATGCAAGGATCCGAGTTTGACGTCGGCAGAGACATTGCTATGAACAAAATTACGTCGAGTCTGTCCAAGCGTTTGGTGGTGGTTCCGTTATGGTATAAAGTGGAATTTCGATGCATAGACGAACGAATCTCGTCACTTTACCACCTCCGGGAATGACTGCGGCACGTTAAGCCGCGTATTCACCTAGCGAACGAACACCGAACGAACAGCAAACGTAAAAATTTGTATTGTTGTTTGTTACATAAAAGTCGCATAAGTTTAATTGCTACATGGAACGAACATCGAATCTGGTCGAATACCAGTATTCCGTACAATCAAGAAAAAGAATAAACTGCTCACAAATATAAACACTAATATCCGAACATTCGCGTTCGGTGTTCGTTCGCTAAGTGTATACATGGCTTTATGTGGAGGAAATTTTATGTCTTCATTCCGATATACGCGTCGTCAAATGGAACGCAATTTTATCTTAATGCAGGACAACGCTCGCCCACATACCGCCAGAATTGCAATTAACTTCCTCGAAGAAAACAACATCGAGATGCTACCACAACTAATGAGCGTAGATTTAAATTCCATTGAACATGTATGAGATATGATGGGAAGAAGATTAGAGTAACCGCCAACAAATCTGCAACAAGTGAAAGCAGCATTACATCGAATATGGTATGAAAAATTCCTCGGGCTTTAATTAAAACTTCCATCAATATGCGTACATGTTTAGAAGAAGTCATCCGAAGACGAGGCGGAAATACACAATTTTAAAGAGCAAACATATCGCCACGTGGTCCCCCCCCCCCCCCCCCCCACACACACACACACACACACATGATGCGCAAAATCCAGGAACCTCCCCGTGGTGCGTATCGGGTAACGCTAGCGGTTGAGTGAAATGCATAAGTAAGTTTGATACACTATCTCCTTAAAAAAAAAAATCGTATGAAGCTTAATTTTTTTTTAATTTGTAAGAAAAAAGTCCATACTTTACGACGGTTATCATGAAATTTGCGAAAAAAATTTACTTTACCCCATAGAGTGCGTCAAACTATGCAAATTTCTGAAAAAAAAAACACGTCCTTATTTTTTAAGAGACGCAAGGAAGGGGTAAGGATAGAATAATTTTAATGGATTCAAAATCCATTAAAAGCTTCGTAAAGTACAGACTTTACCCTTGAAAATGAAAAAACTCTCGTGTCTAATAAATCAATAATGATCTCGGGACTTCTATATAAAGTTAGAATGGCTCAATATAGTTCAATTTATAAATATTAACATACAGAACAAAATATCTTATTTCAATGTAAATTGGGGACCTTATGAAAGTAGAGGAAAAAACGTAAGAAATAAAAAAATGACGTACCTACTTATTTAATATGATAAATATTCAAAGTATATTTATCATATTAAAAGTTTAAACTTCGCAGTGTTACGTCCGGGAGGACTCCACGATTTCCTCGTTTCGAAATTACCTAATAGGGTGATCGTTGAGACAGGATGTAAGAGAAAAT